AATGTCATACTACAATTGGTTCTTCCCCCAAAAAGATCTGTGGTCAATTTGCAAATTGAATTCTGTCACTGACCTGTAAGAGATATTTTAATCCACACGAAGTTAAATGCTTGACAAAACCACAGCTATGAAATGGTTAGCAGTACCTCCACAGTAACCGGGCAGTTGGATGGATATTTAGATTAAAATCCTGGCTTACAGGCAGAATTCCCATCAATTGCAGATGGATTAGGATTCCATCCCTCTTGCTCATTCTGAAGGTGGGTAAAGTTTAAAAATGCAGAAAAAACCCAACTCAATTATAATTTCTAGCTGTCAGGAAGGAATTATATCAGTTCCATCTTACAGAAGGAAATCTGTGCTGTCTAGCAGTAATCAGTTCCATATTTGTGAAGCCCTCCAACAAAACACTTTTTGTCTATGATTTGTATTCATCTTAGGACATACTGATTTCAGACCCTTTGTGGATTGTAATGTATAAACAGCCCTTTTATTTTTAAATGCAACTAAAAACTATTTGGCAGGGCCACCGCGGTTCTGAATCTTGAGCAAAATATACCAACTGCAACTGGCGGCTAGGCTGCAAAGCAAGCAAGACAGAACACTCAAAGACAATTGTGTTCGTTCACTTTAGCTAAGAATAGGACATTAATAAGAAATATTTTAATCTAACGAGCATCATGTTTTAAGGGAACTTTAAGCTTTTTTTGGTCAATTTGACAGGCATGTGATGATCTCATGGCATGGAAGTTGGAGACCGAAGCAGAGAGGTTCCGAGATTCCAAGATTCCAATAAAATCTCCCAACCATCTTAGCAAACCACATGCATTTTCTCACTGTACGCCTCTCAAGCTTTATTCCCATTAGAGAGAAGATAGTTCTACGATTACTTCTAAAAAAAACAGTCATGGGAAATAAAATTTAACATATCCTTACAGAATTAACTCTGTCCCTTGAAGCTTACCAGTCACTAACTACAGTTTTATCAGAAGGGTGTCACTAAATTCTGTCCTTCCAGAACAGATACTACCTGTTCCTCCTCTTCAACTCTGCCTTCCTGATGGCTGTTGGGGGTACTGCTTTTTGTCTGAAGGACTTTAGTCTAATTTTCTAGAGATTCAGGGCTACTACACCCTCACTTGTATCCGCGACATTATAAACCAACATTTAATTTCAGCTAAGATTCACAGAAACAAAAAAGCCTTGAAGACATGCTGTTCTTAGAGGTCTTGCGGAAAAAGATGGCTGGAGAGACCAGACCTGCAACAGCAATGCCCTCACAGAGGGACAGGCTGCAGAGCTCGGCCGCTACCTGCCAGCAGGCTGATCAGCACCCACCTCCAGCCTAACTGCTAGTAGAAACACAAGGGAAGGAGCCGATGGCACCAGCAATACGGTGAGGTCAGGAGATGCGCAAAGAATGGAGGTACTAGAGGTTAGGGAGTGAAGGAGGAACGTCATATTTTACTGTGGTGCGCAGGAACCAGGAAAGAGCAATCCACGCAAACCCACCTTTGTCAGCTCCAGGACGTTAGGCATGCAAGGTTCGAGGTGTGCAAGGTTCGCTGTCCTCCACAAAGACAAAAAGCCACCGCGTCAGCACCTCCAGTTGTCTTTGCGGGTCAGCGCACGGCGCAGGCGAGCACAAGTCGGTTTATCAGCCGCAGTAGGGCATCATGGCTGCTCCACAGCGTCTGAGGCTACGGGCAGCCTCACCAGGCCACATGCTGTTACGAATCGTCGGGGGCGAGGCGAAAAGGTAGTTTGTGGATATCCTGCGAAACGGCATGGAATATCACATCCGATTTGGTACGACTAGGGAGCTAAACTGCAGCACTGAACACTGACACCAGGCTGATCTCCGCTGAGTCAGAGTGTGAACGCCCCCAGGTTTTCAGTTTCAGAAGTACCAATATCGAAAGGACGGAATGCTCTGCAAGTGGGCAGAAAGACAGACGGTTCACAGGACTGTAAATCAGGATACAGAGCTTTACGGTCCCTTTTCACTAGTGCATATCTGGGCCAGGTTTCACAACCAAGATTTGATTATTGGGCTATGTGAAGGAAGTCATCGAATTTCAGTCCAGTTCCCAGTGGGCAGGTTCCACATTAAAAAAAAAAAAATCCCCCTATTATACAACTGATACTAATTGGATCCTTTTTAAGCTCTTCAGAAGAGAGGCCAAGGCTTGAACATCACGGAAACAGAACTAACTGTTCCGTGAACTCCCCAGAACAGAGACACATGGATGCAATGCTGTGGGACACTTACGTGGCATCTCAAAAAATACAGGTTTCAGATTCTAAGACTTCTGCAGTCTTCAACTTTCACCAACATTCAAATTCACCTACGTTAAAAGAAAATTAAATTGCCCTCCCCCACAAAAAGCAAGCCACAACAAAGCAAACATCCTCCAGCAAACTATTCGCTTGAATCTATTAAAACTTGCCAAGTCAACGTTCCAGTCTCAACAGCCTAACCCAGCCTGCCAACAACAGAAGTGTCAGTTTTTGTTCCTCTATTTTACATTAACAAAAGTCAATTGTGGCAATGAATTGCATCACATGCCAACAATATATCAGATTCCTTCACAGCTGTTTTTTGTAAAGGGAAGGAAAAGACCTCATCAGTCACTGACAACAGTTCTATAAACCATACACATTTTCAGAACTCCATCCACAAAGTCAGGATGGTAAACTACCACACAAAATCCTAAAAAAGTGGCATAGCACGAACTATCAATTCCAGATAATAAACCCAAGTGTATATGAAGAATCGGTACCTTAACTGAATCACAGCAGTCATGAACTTATTTTAATAGATGAGCAGGTCAGATTGAAAAGAGAAGGCACTGTTACGCCCCAGTGAGCAGGAAAGCTTGTTACCAAGTCGGCAGGCTGGACTTTGCCTAACATATTATCAAGAAAGGGAAGCAAAACTGCGTATTATGTTTTCTTGTATTCTTTAGCAAAGTAATAGCTAAATCAAGAGCATTAAGTTAATTCCCCTTAGGATTTATAACCAATTTAAATACAAGAAAAATGCACTCCTATAAAACACTAATAGGACTTTAACATGTACTGTCAAAACAGAATTAGACTGCAAATAAAGGGCCTACTACACTATATCTTTTAGTGCAGTAATTTCATTATCTGTAACTAACAAATAATAAAGGATAATAATGAAGAGGAAAAGAATACAGAACACGGAGAACAAAGCTGATTACTACACATGCATACAAAATGTGGCTGAGTACTTCCTAGAAGCTCAAGTAAACCTCAAACTGTTTGATGTGATGTATATATGCATTCACATCTTTGGAAAACAAAAATGCTTACCACCATATAAATTCTACAACAAGCCAATTTTTAATTATACCTATCAAAATAATAATAAAATCCTAGCAGTTTCATTCAACAGGCTTGAATCATGGAGACCACCTACGCAAATATAAACACAGCATTTGAATCTCCAATTAACTATTGCCAATTATAAATGGGGACACTTTTAAAAATAAGTTATGAGGATAATTAATCATTTTCGCACATAAAGGTAACAATGTAACATCACGCAGTGGTTTTAAAAGCCTCCTACTTTCTGCATTTCTATTCTGGTTAGTTCGTGCCAAGATTATAAAAGCATATTTTAATTTTAAAAGAGGAAGAGAGGAAGGTGAAAAGCTTCCATCCCTCCCTCTGGTCATTTCATGTAGGTATTATTGGATTCAAATATTCAGCCACTAAATCATTGCTATGGAACATTAACATTTTAAAAGGATTCCCATGCTTGGAGAAAAGCTAAGAATAACAGGGCCAAAGGAAAGCCCATAAAAAGTTATTCTGTTCTAACACTGCCAAAATAAGCACTTGTATATCTGTTCAACTGAACACGGTGTTATGGTCATATGACAAGAGCAAGTTTTATTTAAATCAATGTCACAGGGATAAAAAGCATAAATATAAAAGCAAAACTGAGTGACATTCTATGCTTAACAACTTTCTGTAACAAGTAGTTAACAGTCAAATAGTTATTTGCTGTTAAGAATTTTATGTCAGAAAAGACAACGATGTGTACTACAGATGTTGTGAAAGCAGCACATTTCAGTTGCCTGCAATGTGAAAGAGAAATGTTCTCAGAAGCTCACTCCAGCCTTGCAGGGTTCCCTCCATCAGCCACCAAGGAGTTTGACTCCCATGCCACTGGTGCCCAATTGTTTCTCCCTAAAAAGCCAGCTAAGATCTGCCTGCTCCTACTCTGTCACCACCCGTTTTTCTCTCATCCTGTGCAAATGCTCGTATTTTCATGTAAGCTGTTGAACTCAAAATGGCAAATTGCTCCTCAGAGATGTACACAGAGCCTTACTGTTTCAGCAGAAAAGGGAACTCGTACTTTTTGTTCCACTGTATTCTGATCCTCTGACAAAAGAAAGCAAGCTCAGACCTGATACTTCTAACATTAAAACACACACCCACAAAGCAAACCCCCAAAACCTTTTTGGGAAAAAAACCAGTCTTACTATTACAGGCTCATCTTTATAGATAATGATTTACAAGTGAATACTCTGTTACTACAAACAGGCTACAACAATATGTACAAGAAGAACGTTGTAGAAACGTTTTCATGATTATGCTTTCGTATATTCAATCAAAAGGTAAAAAGTAAATTACTTGAAAATACCTACAGAACCTTTAAGAAACATACTAGTTCTACGGAGGGTCCAGTCAGCTAGTACAAAAGAAATGCATTATTGCTCTTTTTACTGTCAGAAAGTTTCAGAAAGTTTGAATTCCTGTACTAATATGTTGAAAACTATAATTACAGTTGTGGCAAGTATCAGTAGAAGAGGACAGCAGGCAGATCCTTCCACCCTCACTCCTACTACTGAGGACACTAGCTAGTGTGACTAAGAACGACAGCATCCAACTGGGAGAAGAAAAGAAAAATCTTTGTGCAAATAATCCATCATTTTAGAATGAGTTCTGCTGATACGACATGGATTCTCGTGATCTGTTTCTTACTTAACAGAAGTTGCAACTAACACAAGTTCATTAGTTATTCACAGGTTTATAAACAACTTACAAACTGAGTAATTCCAGATAACATCAGATTACAGCAAAAATTCTGTATCAGAGTTGTACAGAAAAAGCCTTAGGGAAGGAAAGCAGTAATGAATGTTACAATCAGGCTCATCATTGTTTCAGAAATAGTATGCTGTGTGAGTAATCCAATTGGAACACTCTTCCTTTGAACGTTTTGCTGAGCTGTGTGATGTAAAAATAGATTTGTATGCCTCAGATTTCTCTTCGCTGTCTGCAATGGATCTCTTCGTAGTAGTAGAAGAAGCCTTATTGACTTTTCCTGGTATAGATGAATTTCCATTATCTGATAGAGAAAAAGGAATAGAATGAAGCATCCATAACAGATTACAGTTGATAAAAGCATATTTAAATAAAGATGGAAAAAAGTATTTAAAAAATAACGTGTACAGAGATGAAGTATATACATTTTTTCAGGGCTATTGCAAATATATCCCATAATTGTACTCAACAGCAAACATGTTCCTAACGGCAAACATGTTCCTAGCTTTTAGAATTTATGCTCAAAACGCATTTAGAAATCTTGGTGAGAGAGGAATTCTTTCCTACTTGTGTAAATCCCTTGCACTATAATTCAGTATTGACAACATTTATTTCTCTGAGTGAAAAATGGCTCTGAAGTCTGGTCTTAAGAAAGAAACATAAAAGAATTCTACCACCCTGAAGTATTGTTTAGAAATTAGCTATCAAATGACCAAAGCTAAACTTGTGACATACTGTCCCCAGGGAATCTATCTCCTCCCTTTATTCTTTGCAAAGTCATTTATGACCAATAACAATGGTCTGCACCACTTTATATTTGGGATAGGAAAATGCCCATCCCTCTGTTTCTGATACCATCTCTCTCAGTGTATTGTATCTACTGCCACATACCCCGCCCTCTCTTTCTTAACAGCTGCTTAGTCTTCTCCAAAGTTGAAGGACAGTACTTTAAAAAGCATGTGCCAAGTCTCTTGTGCAAAGCAATGACTACATGGAAGTCTACAAAAACTCTACATGCGTAGGTTAACTTAGGCATAATGGCATGTAAATAGCTAATAGGGACCCTGTCTGAAAATGCGCTTAACTGATTTCTGCATGTAGTCATAGGAATTACACGTGCAATCCTAAATCATCATAGATCAGAACCTTTTTATATTTGGAGAATGCTGCTTTTAATGCCACCAATAGTTGTCTGGAAAGAATTACCAAACACTGGATTTGAAAGAATGAATATGTATGCTGCAAGTCCAGAAACCTTAGGGTGCCATGTTCACAAATTAATTCCTATGCTACTGGCATTCCTCGGTCCATGGATTTTCCTTTGTTTCCTCTCTCTCCTCTTAATCTCTTGCCTGTCAATATGACTGCTGCCAGAAACATAAACCAATGACCTGAGATTTCAAAAGGCGTATTTTTTCTTTTACACTCTTAGAAAAGAAAAAATACATAAAACATTATTAGAACTACTAGGTTCCTAAACATCCAAGAGCAATTATAATGATCTGGAATGAAGTATTTTTAAAAGTTTATCCTTTATAAAAACAGACAGTAGGGGGCAGGTAAGGCATTTCTGATGGAAATTCTCCCAGCTTCTCACATAGTTTATCTACAGTTCATCATTTAACTATTCTCAGATTCTTCAAACAAATTATATTGACTTCTTCTGTGGCTGTAATGTACACGATCGAATCCTTCACACAGAAACCTCAGACTGACTTTAAAAGCGTACCCATTCTTATAGTTCTGTATGAAAACATCAGTATGAATTGGAGACATTAAATAACATCATATAGATTACATAAAGAGAGGGCACCATCCTTTGGACTAAAGGACTGCCAAGTTTACTCATAGCTGCATGACTACTGTAGGTACATCGGTACATCCTGAAGTTATAATCCGCTGCTCCCAGTGACACACAGCAAATTAGCAGCTAAAATGGAGGACTAAAAGTCAAGTTGTCAGCTTGGGACATTTTAATACACTTCATTGAAATAAACTGCCATAACAGATTTTTTTGACCACTTGTACTTCAGGAAAACAACTAATTCTCCTCACACTACCTCCTAGCCAATAAAACAGATAGACCAAACCCTCGACTCTATCACTGTGTGAATAAGAATCTCTAATCTCATTCATTCAAGTTAGTTCCCACCAACTTAAAGCACAGCAATATTGGAATGCCATAAACAAGCAAATCTGGCTTGCTTCTCAGTGAAAAAAAAAATGCAATATGGTGAAAAGTGTTTATTATTTTTATTAGTTACCTGCATCACTACAGCACTTGCCAGTCACAAGCGTGAGCAGTGGCCCTGCTGTTTTAGGTATTTTGTGAAAGTATAACAAGAAGTCAGTGCCTACTCTATGGACTATTTACTCAAATTATAGGATGATGGACAGCACATGGGACAAAGGCAAACTGGGCAGAATAAGGAAAAATGGATAAACAGAAGCCCTTGCACACTTTCTGCAGAGTCAGTTTTGTAGATTTTTGCAGATCTTAAAACAGAGCTGTTTTAAGAAAAAGTTAAATTGACTACAATTTCTATTGAACAAGGAGCTTTGTGCGTGTTCATACGGCAGCCTCCTATTCCAGCTTGGAAAGGCAGCCTTCTAGGACAGACTTTTGAAAGAGGGGGTTCTTTGAGAAAATGAGCCACGACATTATGGCTCCCTTTGTCCTGGTTTCAGCTGGGATAGAGTTAATTTTCTTCCCAGTAGCTGGTATAGTGCTGTGTTTTGGATTTAGTATGAGAATAATGTTGATAGCAACAACTAAAACATCGGTGTGTTAAATAGTGTTTATACTAGTCAAGAACTTTCCAGCTTCCCATGCTCTGCCAGGTGCACAAGAAGCTAGGAGGGAGCACAGCCAGGACAGGTGACCCAACCTGGCCAAAGGGCCATTCCATACCATATGGCGTCATGCTCAGTACATAAAGTGGGGGGAGTTGGCCGGGGGGGCAGCAATCGCTGCTGGGGACTGGCTTGGCGTCGGTCAGCGGGTGGTGAGCAATTGCACTGTGCATCACTTGTTTTGTATATTCTTTTATCATTATTATTTTCTCTTCCTCTACTGTCCTATTAAACTGCCTTTATCTCAACCCACAGGTTTTACTTTTTTTTTTCTGATTCTCTCCCCCATCCCACCGGGGGTGGGAAGGGTGAGTCAGCGGCTGTGTGGTGCTTAGTTGCCGACTGGGGTTGAACCATGACACCCCTGAAGACAGGATTTTTATTACTGAGAATTTTATTACTGAGAAAGATAAAAAAAAAAGGAAGTGAGAGAGTAGCTTCTGAAAGCTATGGTACAAAATAGCCAGAGAAGGATCCCCCCTACAATATTTTTTAAAGCAGAACTATTTGTTGATATTTTTCACATTTAGGTTAAAGAATAAACACCAACCTGAACTTTTGGTGAAGATAATCTGCCTCTTTTCCCCAGAACTGGAATTGATACAAGCCTTTCCATTCTTAGTCTTTGACGGACCTGGAGAATCTATGAAAGAAAAAAAAAAAGAAATAATGAATCTGCTTCATGACTCAGAAGGCTATACATAATTTGAGGCTGTGACATTACCTTCAGCGGTATCTTGCTGAGAAGCTGATTCTGCTGACTTACATTTCTTTGATTTCTGAAACAACACAAGCAGAAATCTGGTAACGTACTGAAAGGATATACAATTCCTAACTTGTATTTGATAGACACACAATTCCATTTAGTAGGTTTTTATGTCTTACACAATGGAACTCTTTCTTTCACAATACCGCTCCGTACTTTTGCTATTATTTCTATATGGAAAAATAATAACCTTGACAACCTTGAAGGCACCTTAAAGAAGACCGCGCAGGCCAAAACTAAACTGTCTGGATATGGTATTTTGGTTTGTGTACTTTGCAGGCGGTGTGTGTGTGTTACCATCATTAAGGTAATCTGATACTCTGAACCCACATGGCAGGACAGTAAATTGCACAACATTAAACAGGACACAGTTAACTGTAATTGATAAAGACGTTTTTCAATAAAAAATTCAGAATAATCCTGCATCTCATATCCACTTAATTTTATTTAGTTAATAAAAAATCCCTCCTGGGTAACTTTCAATAACTGGGCCCTTTATTGCAGGATTGTTTTGGAAGAAAAGATGCAAATAGTTAATCTAAATTTTTTAAAAGCATCTGTGGACCAGATTTTCCAAGTTAATTTATGTTTGTCCAGATTAAAAACCACAAAAAACCAAACAACTGCAGCAAGAATCCCATTACTGGCTATGATTATATAAATGCCAAGCTGAAAAAGGAAGATGTATTAGAAGACTCATTGGTGTTATTATCACAAAAGGTGATTCTGTATACATTCAGAATGGTGTATGCATTTCAAGCAAGCTACACAAACTCAAAGAAAATAAATATACTTAAATGTGTCATAAAAATTAGGAGAACCCATGCTGTCAAGCATATGATTAACACTTGAGGAAAAAAATGCCATAGCACGTGTTGCTGCAAAGCTTAGCCAGAAGGTGGTGGCAGAGGGTTACTAGTCTAAAACTCGGCTCTCCTGGTGTCCTTCAGTGTACAGGAAAAACCTCTTTCCAAGGTGCTTCCACCTTTGTTGTTACGGGTGGATTTACAAAGAAAAGTTACCTCCCAGCATCTGGCCTCTGAATTATGAGATGTTTGTAAATATACGTATGCATATATATTATACATAAGGAATACATATTATACATATTTCATCATGGGCACATATGACGTAGTTGAGCTTGAATTTTTTTTTATACTAGTGCTAGCTGCATCTTCCTTATGTTTTGTCTCATGGGTATAAAGAAAAGGAGTTTGTGCTTCCTGCTCCAAATACAGTAGGTCCACTTAGACTGCTTCCCTAGCTGAAAGAAGGAACTGAAGAAGAGGTTTGAACAGCAGTGCCAACAAACCCCAAACTAGAAACTGTTTTCTGACACTGGGACTGGAGCTCACAGATCTCAGATTAGAGCGAATGGTGCCAGTGACAGCAGAGAAGGCTGGCTCTAGCTGCAAAAAGATCAGCTGGTGCAGCAAAGCAAGGTTGTATTGCAAAAAAACCATCAGAACTTGAGGATGAAATGCAAGAGGCCTGCTGAGAGATTTGCGAGTACTGTACCTGCCTGTAACATCACTCTCCACTAAACAAACAAAAAATATTTGCATATTCATCTAAGGCATACAAAGCCCAAAGACCAAAGCATGACTTCACTTCCTTTCATCTGCCACCACAAGTGACTGTGCTGACACCAAAAGAGACAGAAGTCCTCAGCACACTTACGTACTTCTTCATTGTGGAGAAACTGGGGACAGCACCAGCTTTCAGACTATTCCAAATTATTTGAACAAAAGCTATAGGTGCTTTGTTAGGGACACCTTCCTAATGAAAACTGAGTGCAAACGACCACTATTTTTGGGGTTGTTTACTCATCTACTGAGATCCGCAATGTTCTATCATCAAATTATCTTTAAAATTCTTTCAAACATTTAATTACAAAGTAATTACAAAGTAATTACAAAGTATCGGAAGATACAGCATAAGATTTACAGTATTGCTCTTATGCCAGAAGCTACAGGACACTAAGTGCAGAGGCTACGAACAGAAAGGAAACAGAACAGTAGGATTTCTATGGGTAACCATCCTTTTCTTTTATTGCCCAGACCCAGTGATGCTGTATTGGTGCAGATGAGTAAAGACCCTACAATGAGGAGGAATCACATGCTTGCTGGTAAGTTAACTAGTATTTGTTTCAAAGCAATCTACGAAAACATTTGTGCGCCATCTAATCCTACAGGCAGACAAAATCAGGTGCAGTAATGGGGATGAGATGGTCGACCTCCATCTAAAGTCTCAGTTGCCGAAAATGTCAATGATGATTCACACCCTCGAGATTTCAACTAAATTTAACTGCACTCTGGACTGAGTCAACACGAAAGTTTTTGCTTGCTTTGTCATCCTCCAGAGCAGCAATGCCAGTTCAGAGAAAAATAGCAATGCTGAAAAAAGTCCCATGTGCAGAACTGTCACTTGACAGTACAGCACCACAGAACAACTACTACTTCATAGAGTAGTAGTATACAGTAGAATACACAGTAGAGCTGCAACGACTTTATTTTCATGGCATTTTGCCTGGTCAGATTAAAAAAAAAAAAAAAAAAAAAAAGAAATGCAAAAGACCTCCAACAGTATTGTGGGAATTAGCATCGCCAGTAATCACTCAGGACTGTAAGAACTGCAGAACATGACAATTTCCAAACAACAGTCTTGCAGAATCAGACCAGGAATCTACATATTCCAGTATTGTGTTTCTGACTGTGGCCAGTAGAGGATGCTTGGAGATCAAAAGAACTAATAACCTACCATCACAATAAAGCAGGAACTACCATATGAAATACAGAGAAGATTTTGCTCATTACTAGAATTACCTAATACAAGGTGTTTGTTTCAAGAAAAACCTAAAGTATAGCTGGCACACTGTCCATTTTACCTATAGCATTAAATTCTGTGATTTTCAGAGTACTATGCACTGCCTGTTAGTCAAGACAGTTTCAGTACATACAACTTCAATATGCTATTAGCAAAATACACGTGCAGTCTCATTACTTTTAAAAGTAGCACTGAAGTACAACACAGTTTACCAAGTAAATCCTCCAGTCTGCAGAAAAAGCTATGCGATCTAAGAACAGATTGCATTACAGACAAGAACTCTTTCAGTTTTGTTTTAAACAAGGTATAAAAAGATTACCTTTTCTAATTTACTTTTAAGTCTTCTATCCTCCATTCTTTTCTTCAATACTTCCACATCTTCTTTATTACCATTAAGGATAATCACATCTTCCTCTTGAAAGGGAACACCACACTTCAAGGAAAAAAAAAACAAGAAAAAGGACAAAACTAGTATTTTTTTCAAGACCTTTATGCTGTTGAACCCTTGTTAGAATTAACACTGTGTTTAAGCTGTCCAAGGAGCTCTCCAATCCTTCCCCTGGCCGCTGTGTCTTTCCCAATAGTTATTCCTCTTTCAATAGTCTGATACGTCTTCTCACCTTAAATGTCAAAGGGAGAATCTCAGTTGTTTTTACCACTGAGCAAAATAATACTGATTGACAGCATCCCTCTTCACAAAAAGGAGAATAAATACTCATCTTACTAGTGAACTGTGAACTTTTGATAACCACACTTAAAAGCAGCTCGCATGTCAATCTGCACAGCAAATTATAAAAGAATTTCAGAAATATGAAAACATTTTATTCTTCTTCAAAGCCCTATTCCATGTAATATGGCTATGGAAATTGTGTATTTATTTCACTACCAGTCCCTTATAAACACTCTTAATGAATTCTGGTTTTTCTTTAAAGAAAAGGTCTCGTGTATTTTCTGTTCATGGGTTCCTTGTTCTACTAGCATAAAATGTACAGTGACTATATTAAACAAAGTAGTCCTAACTAGAATCTACTCAATTTTCTGAACCCCATAGCTAAAAAAACAAACCACTAAGGTACTTTCTGATTTTTTTTAGTTATAAATGCATTTGATTAAGATCTAAGCATTATGCAACTCTGCTCTAGAATTTGTCGTTCAACTCAGTAATACAAGAAGCAACAACTGATAGGAGCAGTTCCTTTACACTGACTAGGAACAACACCAAAGATGTTATTACTCTACATGTAGAACAGACAGCACCAGGGAATTTTTCTCCCCAACAGCTAGACAGGAAAACCTGCTTTGTTTGGGTTTTTTTGTGGTTTTTTTTTTTTAATTATTATTATTTTTA